AAAAAAAAAAAAACTCCCTAAAATCCCATCACCTAGAGAAAAATAGTTGCTAACACTCTTTCTCTGAGTATAAATGCATACATATTTTAAATTAAGTTTTATGTTATATACTGTTCTTTCTTTCTTTCTTTTTCTTTTTTTTTTGAGATAGATCTCACTATATCACCCTCAGTAGAGTGCAGTGGCATCACAGCTCACAGCAACCTCAAACTCTTGGAATTAAGTGATTCTCTTGCCTCAGCCTACCAAGTAGCTGGGAGTGCAGGCACCTGCCACAATGCCCAGCTAGTTTTTTGTCATTGTTGTGGTTGTCGTTGTTTAGCAGGCCCAGGCTGGGTTTGAACCCACCAGCCCCGGTGTATGTGGCCAGTGCCATAACCACTGAGCTACTGGCACAGAGCCTGTTCATTCTTTTTTTTGTAATTCAATTTCTAATTTAATAATAGGTAGTAAATATTTCCCTATGCCACTAATTATTCTTCTATGCCATGTACTTCGATAAACCAAAGCGTGACATTAGAAACAACCCCAATGCCTATCAACAGGGTCGGCCTGGAAAATGTCACCAGCAGGCCATACCAGACAGGCTTGAGTGATTCTCCAGGGCAATTTTAAAAACATTTCTCTTGGGGAGCTAGGGGATAGTGAGAAAAAGCAGAAATAATGCAATCCCACTTTTCAAGACCAAGCACTAAGTTTTGGTTCTGCCACTGTTCAGCTATGCGTCCTTGAGCAAATTGCTTAAGCTCTCCGTCAAAATTGTGCCTATCTCTTAGGACTGTTTTAATTTTTCAATTAAATTAGTGTATGTAAAGTACCTGACACATACAAAGTGCCCTTAAAATATTATTATTATGATTTTACTTTCCCGTAACGTCACGTGGCTTAACCCTACGTTGCCCACCTCATGCTCAGGGTCAACCGCCTATCCTTTTCCTAAACAGATTTGAATCAGGGACTGTATCTCGTTCACCATTACATCCTCAGCACCTAACATAGTGTTTGGCACATAGTAATTGGTCAGTAAACATTATACGAGTGAATGAATAGCTAACCCAGGCTTCTGAACTGCTTGAGATAGATGTTTCTTTGGGCTTGTAGTGTGCTTCTTTATGTTGGCTGAAATTAGGCTTTCCTTGGCTTATAGTATCAGTGTGTGGTTTCTGTAGGAAGGAGACCTACAGCCCTCTTTTCATATCCTCCTGACTTTGCTTCCCCTCTTCTAGGGCCCTTTCCAACCAAAGAAAATGAGTTGCTAATGCAATCATTTTTGCATCCATGAACTCATGGAGTCAACCACCCGTGGATGGAAGATGCAGTAATTCACGGATGTGGAACCCGGGGTTCTGCAGGGCTGGCTATGGGACTCGAGCATCTGTGGACTTTGGTATCAGAATCTTTGGTACAGATTTTGGTCCTGTAAACAAACCCCCCTGGATACCGAGACATGACTGTAGGACTTGTCAAGCTGGACAAGGCTATATTTAAAAGACACTAGGTATAGAAATGATAAATACCCAGACTTGATCATTACACATTCTATGCACATAACAAAATATCATGTGTACACCCATAAATGTGTATAAATATTATATATCAATAAAAAAGAAAGCAAAGACAAGGTAGCTCACAAAATGGCCAGAAGGACCAGGGAGCTAATTGCAGAGCTCCATAGTCTAGAACCGCAGGAAACCACATTAGTCCAGTGAGGGCCCTGGTGCCACCAGATGCTACTGAAGTCACCGTCGCATGCTGCCACCGATGACTTGACGCTTCTGTACCACGGCCACCAGCAGAGAACAGATCGTCATCTATCATAATGATAGAAATGCAAAGTGAAACCCTGCAGAGAAGCGTTTCCCACCTGTGAGACTGGCGAGCCTCCCAGATGACAGTTCTGCTGCACGGCTTTGGGAACACAGTGCCCTCACACGCTGCTGGAGTGAGTGCCAAACGTACGGAGAAGAATTTGGCAAAGGCTGGAAAGTGACATCTGCACCTTCCTTGGATGCAGAGATCCCTCTTCTAGGAATCTACCTCAAAGACATCCTGCAAAAATGCTAACTGATCTGTGCCTAAAGGTAGTCGCTGTCATCTTGTTAATAATGACAAAAGGCTGGAAAGAACCCAAATGTTCATAAACCACGGTAAGTGCAGGGGTACGCGACCATACAAAGACATGGAGAATGTGCCTTTATATTGATGTGGACTGAGCTCCAGCAGATATTGTTGAGAGAAAAAAAAGCAAACTGGTTAGCAATATTCAGAGTATTCTCTCTTTTGTGCTAAGAGTGGGGAAAGATAAATAGGTGTATATACAAATTTGCTCGTATTTTCAAATATAGAAAGCAGAAGAAAACAACCAAATGACTTGCATGTCAAGTAGGTGGCATAACACCACTGAGAAGGAACTGTATCAGTTGATTTGATTTTGAAAAGAAGTATTTTGACAGTACCTGTATATTTCAAGTTCAAGAATAACCACAAAGGAATGATCATTAGAGGGCTCATCTCATCTGAAGACTCCTATCATTGGGATCACCTTTCAAATATCCAACTGAAAAGCCAGAACATCAACCTTGACTTCTGCTGTCCCTTCTCTTTCCTTCCACATCCAGCAGATCCCAAAGTGTGGTCAATTCCACCCTAACATCTCTCAATCCCTCCACCTCCCTCTATCCCTGGGACTTCTACCTTTATTAAGGTTCTCATTATTTCTATTCTGTGTCTGGTCGGGCCCCTGCCCCAATCCTTTCCCCAAACTACAGCTAAAGAGAAAATCTGCTTTCCTCTCTTGATTAAAAGATCTCAATGTTACCAAAATATCTTCGAGATACAGCCTAAACTTCACAGCACAGATTACACCATCCTCTGGGATCTGGCTCCTGTCCCTTCCTGTACAATCTCTCTTAATCTTCTTTCTTTAGCCCCTCTCTCCTGTTCTTGTTTTCCTCTCTCTCTGTCTCTCTCCCTGTCTCTCTCTCCACTGTCCCCATCTCTCTCTCTCTCTCTCTCACACACACACACACACTTTTCTTGCCATACTGAGCTACTTGCAATTTCCCAGACCTCACACTTCCTCTTCCCACAGGGCCTTGGCAGGTGCTATGCCCTGTGGTCCAGCCTCCTTCCTAGACCCCTTCACCCTTTCCAGGTTGCTTTCCCGCCCTGAGCATGCACACCACTTCCCCTTGAGTTTTCACCCAACCTCCTCTAACTGCCTCCCATTCTCACCCCTGCTGCCCTGGCCCCCGGCTTCCCTGTCAGAGCAATTACTACTCTTATGCGTGGCTGTATGGTAGCTGCCCATTCTCTATCTCCCCTGCAGGTTCTGGGGATGCCAGCATGCCTCTTTTTTTTTTTTTTTTTTAAATCATTATATTCCCACTACCTGACATGGTACATAGGAGCTACTCGATCTGCTTGTTAAATGAATGGATATGTTCACAGCTTTACAAGTTTAACACTTAAAAGAGTGCTGACCTGCTTAATTCCCATGCCTGTAGTTCAACTGGGCTGGATTATGTCACTTTTAATAATCGTGGCAATATAGCCTCTTGACGGCTGCCTGCTAGAATTCAGGTGTTCATCCTGTTCCCATTCATTACCTGAGACGCATGCAGTCAGCCTGAGGTCTCCCGCCACACACTCACCTGGGTGAATCAGACAGGAGTCACACTCGTTCTCCTCATTCCTGCAGCAGGGGATGGTGTAACCCACCACTTCCTTCTTTCCCGGGCAGATGCACTCAATCTGATCATACTCGCAGCACTCCCGACACATGATATTCCACTCGGCCCCCGGGCAGGCTTCATTAATCACTGTGTACTCTGAAACAGAAAACCAGCAGCTGAGGACAGGTCCTGGCAGGGAGCGGTAAAATCCTGAGCTGAGAAGTAACCTTGCTCTATGGATACACTGCCCTGCCTGAGTGAGAGAGATGACCTGTGTGAATTCTTCCTAGGCCAAAGCGGCCAAAGGGAGGTGGCCCACCTCACGGAGTATTCAAAACCATCCATTGGTGCACAGATAAAATTCTTTATAACTGCTATTCATTTTTATTTATAATTTAAAAAAAAACCATGTTTCCTCAACATATAATCTTAGTGGATTGAGAGTAGAACATGTATACAAATATAATTTATAAATAAGTACACCTCTCTTGGGTGTCTATACTCATTTCTATTTTTGTTGGACTACATTGGGCTCACAGCACAAAGGTTGTGCACTGTACAACTCCAGGGGGAACCATTCCACTGCACAGCTATCTAGCACAGCCCAGGCATGAGGGCCATCAAAAAAATCTGGAGATCAGTCTCTAGTCTGGGCCATTTGAGTGCAAGGCTGATTGCCAAGTAGAGGCCGTGTCGTTTCTTCCAAACTTGGCTCCTCAGTTTTGCAGCACACCATTTTTCTAGTACCTTCAAAGCTAAAACCAACAGAAAAGACAAAAAGTACCTTAATTAGTATGTTTGGGAGAATTTCAATGTTATACAAGGGTGAACTCATTAGCCCAACTTCATTCAGTCCCCAAGTACAACTGGGTGTTCTTTCCCATGAGAAAAAAAAAAATATCCCCTTTCTGGGCAGGATCTTTTTCTTTGTCTTTTCCCTTTAAAAAAATATATATATACCTTAAGTAAAAAGAAAAACCATCTGGGTAAAACCTATACGAGGAATCAATCAGAGATCGCCCAGAGGAACTCAGGCTAAGAAACAGACCTTCAAACTTGGACTTGCTCTGCTTTTCCCCCGTTCTTCATTCTAAAAATGTTACACCAAGATGATGATTAAAGCAGAAACAGGTCAGATATTTGAGAAAGAAAGTGAATCTGGGCAAGGGCCCCCATGAAGTCTTCTCTAGAAACTCTGGGCTGAGATCCCCAGCATGCATTGTAGGCCCGTGTAAATGAACCCTACATCTGTGCCGGCCTTTAAACTCTTAAATTTCATGGTTTAGTTTTCTGTTTTCCTTCTACATTTGGAAGCCTGACACAGGTTTGATCTCTTTTCATGTTCCCGGTAGAGCATTTAAAGAAACTACCACCATTTATTCCCAACCTCAGGTGGTAAGAACATTCTACTACAATAGAAGGGAACCCCTTGCATCAGAAGGGACTCTTTCTTAAATTGAATAAATTTTGTCTTATTAAAAATTTACTTTTATAAATCATTTTTTTCTAAAAACAGTGGGGGACCAAGAAAGATCTTCCCCTTGGCCTTTGGGAGTAAATGGCACAGATCATCCCAGATTGTCACCACTAAGTTTGGTTTTCCCACAGCTGTGAGTCCCTTCAGGGCAACCACCATAGCTTCTTAGCTGAGCTTCCCAGGTTTGTTTCTGATGGTAACTGATGAAGTGAATGGCTTCTAAAACCTAGATGAGAATTTAATGGTTAAAAGTGAGGAAAAACAGAAGAAAATGCTGGAGTAATCTCCATCTACAATCTTAGATTTAGCAAGGGATGCTTAGACATGACACCAAAAGCATGAGCATTGAAAGAAAAATAAGGAAGAAGCCCAAGTGCCCATCAACCCACGAATGGATCAATAAATTGTGGTACATGTACACCATGGAATATTATACAGCCCTAAAGAAAGATGGAGACTTCACCTCCTTCATGTTTACATGGATGGAGCTAGAAAATGTTCTTCTTAGCAAAGTATCTCAAGAATGGAAGAAAAAGTATCCAATGTGCATACCCCTATTTTGAAACTAATTTATAGCTTACATAGGAATGTTATAATCTAATTATAGCTTTAGAATATGGGGAGGGGGTGGGGGGGCAGGAGGGTGGATAGGTGGATGGGTGGAGGGAGGGTGATTGGCAGGGTTACCTCTATGGTTTATCTTATAAGGGTACAAGTGAATCTTTCTAAAAGCAGAGTATGAATGTCTTAACTTAATAACTAAGAAAATGACATTAAGGCTACGTTAACTAGTTTGATGAGAGAATTTCAAAATGTATATGAAGACACCACACTGTACCCCATGATTGCATTAATGTACACAGCTATAATTTAATAAAAAAGAAAGAAAAATAAATCAGACTTCATTAAAATGAAAAACTCTGCTCATCAAAGGACATTGTTAAGAAAGTGAAAAGACAACCCACAAATGAGAGAAAATATTTGCTAATGATAAAGCTAATAAAGGCCTGATGCCCAGAACATAAAAAAAAAAAAAAACAAACTTCTGCAACAAAATGACAAACCACCTAATTAAAAAATGGGCAAATGACTTGAATTTCTCCAAAGAAGATGTATAAATGGCCAATAAGCAAATGAAAAGAAGATCAGCAACAAGTCATTTGGGAAATGCAAATCAAAACCACCAGGAGTTGCCACCTACTAGGATGACTATAATCCAAACCACACCCTCCTGTCCAAAAAGAAGATAAGCATTAGCAAAGATGTAGAGAAACTCGCATTACTTGTTGGGGAGGCCTAAGGCAACACTTCCCCCACCCCAAACAAAGGACACAAAGGACCTAGTTAGCCCCACACCCCAAAACTCACACCAAAGGACCCTAACTCACCAAATCCCCCCAGACAACTTGTGGAATTTGCCCTCCATCCCCTTATCTAAAAGGGGTCTCTAACTGCCCCTAGGCGCAGATGCCATCTTTGCTCTGCCCAGGTGGGTCACTGTCTCTTTCAACAAACCTGGCCTAAACTTCTCCACTCCCGGTCTCAACTCTGGGCACCAGAGCTTTCATCTTTCAAGACTGACAGAAATGTAAAATGATGTAGGCATTGTGGACAAGTGGCAGCTCCTCCAAAAGCTAAACCTAAAATTACCACATGACCAAGCAATTACACTTATAGGAATATATCTAAAAAATTGAAAATGGTGACTCAGGGCTACTTTTATGCCAATGTTTGTTCACAATAGCCAAAGAGCAAAAACAATTTCAGTGACTTTGAAGAGATGAGGGATAAACAGAATGAGGTATATCCACACAATGGAATATTATGAGGCCATGAAAAGGAATGAGGTGCTGATACTGCTGCAATGAGGATGGACCTGGCTGAGAACAAGTGAAAGAAGCCAGAAACAAAAGGACAAATATGGCCTGATTGTCCTTAAACAAAATATAATAGGCAATTCATATGAGAGACAAAAAGTAGATTAGAGGTTACCAGGAGCTGGGGAAATGAAAGGATAGATGGGAAAGAATTGTGTGATGGTTACAGAGCTTCTATTTGAGGTGATGAAAAAGTCTTGAAACTACATGTTTCAAAGTGAAGGTTGTGCAACAATGTGGATGTAATTAATGTCACCAAATTATATACTTAAAATGGTTCAAATGACAACTTTTCTCAGCCTTCCCTGTCCTCCCACTCCTCCTCTGATTAACTACACTCTGCTCTCATGACTGCTTAGCCCTCTGTCCCCTCATTTTATGTTCCTACCTCCCTATTGCTAAAATGCTTTCATGTGTCCCTAACACTTAATACCATATTGACCACTCTGAATACTTGGTAAATGTGGTTTGATGACCCGTAAATATCTACTGATATTTATTGCAAAAATATGAGATCCTTACTTCGTTTTTTTCTCAATGCAAGTAAAATATCTAAAAATTCCACTAACTCAATATAGCTTTCTGTTTTTACATGTAGCTTCTTTTTAACACAGGAAAAAAATTATATTTCCAAAGGCTGATAGGATGAAAGAAGGCCATCCAATTTAGGGGAACGGAGTGCCCAAAGGCCAAAAGATGGAAATTAACACAGGCCATAGGCACAGGAAGATTGTTTGAAAGAATCAAAGATTATGAATCCTGAACCAGGCAAGGTAGCTCGGGCCTGTAGTCCTCACACTCTGGAGGCCAAGGCTGGAGGATCACTAGAGGCCAGGGGTTTGAAACCAGGCTGAGCAAGAGCAAGATCCTGACTCTACAAAAAATAGAAAAATTAGCCAGGCTTGGTACTGCTCACCTATAGTCTCAGCTGCTGGGGAGGGTGAAGCAGGAGGATTGTTTGAGCCCAGGAATTTGAAATTGCAGTGTGCTATGATGAGGCCACTGCATTCTAGCCTGGGTGACAGAGTAAGACCTTGAATTACAAATCCTAGGCAAGTTCTCTTTCAGATCGCATTTTCCTACCTGTATTCTCTGGTCCAGGTAAACTACGTATTGTTGGTAATGTGCTACTGTGTGTTAAACCTGTAAGATTTGCCAAAATTATTCAAATTAAAGCTAGCTACAATAACCCCAAATGACAAATTTTACATCTACATATATATAAAACCATAATTTTTTAATGTTGAAAAGAGGGAAGAGGGAGTGAGAGAACACAAAATGGTTAGAGGTGAAGCACTGAAGTCAGACCTGGGTTTGCAATCCTACCCCTGCTACCTGCTTTACTCCCTTAGTTTACCAACCAGTAGGATGGTTTTATCCAACTCAGGGCTGTTGAAAGTATTAGACGAGATAATGCTTATAAAGGGCTTAACTGGGTGTCCAGTATGTAATAAGTACTGGGTTCCTTAAAAACAAGACAGAACCTCCATGTTTCTTTCTCAAGGATCTTATTTTTAAACTATGTATCATATCAGCTTACAAAATGATCATTGCACTTCAAATAAAAGTCAAGTGGTCTGCCATAGCCCCCAGGCCTTTGAAGACCTGCTCCCTGCCCACCCCACCAACCTTTCCTCAGCTGCTGTTTCCCACCTTCTCCCACTTCCTCCAAACCATCAAGCCTTTGCCCAGTCCAGGGCCTCTGCTTCAGCCTTCAGGCCTTTGCATCCCCCCACCCCACCCTCGCGACCTTCCCTTCTGAAATGCACGCACCCTCCCTCCCATCCATGCTCCTCCCTGTC